TATATTTACATATATTAATATTACCTGGGATATTGTGGTCCAAATTGCGTATAACAGCAATTGTGTAAGCAACCATGAGAAAAAGGATTGTAGCCTCCATTAAATTTACCCGTTACCTGTTCATTTGTTGTACGTCCTCGAGAAACAAGTACTACATGAAAACCAGTCAATCCAAAAATTGGAATGAATAAAAGTATAACCACTCCCATGAGTACAAGTCTATTTTATATTTAAGGATATTTTATATTATAAGATATAAGATTATAAATATCATAATAAAAATATATATTATTCAAGATAAAAGCTGTATGAATTTTCACAATATTTGCAGCTTAAATGAATGATGGCCGAGCATTCAATATATTAAATCTTACGTTAAATAAATTATATTATTTTGCAATGCAATTGCAAATATCAATTCAGGAAAAAAGGATACGCAACAATAGTGTCCACTTCACCTAATTGTTGTTTACGTTCCAATACAAAATATAGGCAAAGTCCAAATATACTGAGCATATGAAAACTAAGTGATAGGAGGAAGAAAAAAAAGAATCTGTAATTCCTCCTACCAATACAATTGTTTACCCATGGGCAGTGATGATCAAATGTCTGAAAATATTAAAAAAGAATTAAATTTAAAAAAATAATCACTCAAAATAAATTTAATACATACCTCAATACAATGATTACACACACTACAATGTGAACAACGTGGAGGTCTATAGAATTTGCATGTGACACACCATTTCATGCGAACTGTAATACCATTGATTTCTACATTTTTATATAATGGAGCATGGAAATCATCTTCTCTATCCTCGTCAGGAGGTGCTTAAAAAAATAAAATTATACTTTTTCAACAACTATCACAAGTTTATTTGATGATTCTTTGATTTTATGTATGAACATACCTTTTGGAATAACACCTGGATCCATAAATGTTGCTAGTGTAAAATTTGCCAAAACAAAAAAGGTAATGACTCCTTGAAGAGCAGGTACCCATGTTCCCCATCGAAACACGTAATATTGGCATCTATAAGATTCAAAAAATATATGACGAACACACATTTTGATAAATTGGCACAATCTTGAAAATGAAAACAGGAGCGCAAACATTGCAACCACTCACGAGAAGACAGACATGTGTACGAAACTTACGGAAAACAGAAGAAGAGTGTCGTAGTGCTGAGTAGAGCTGTCCAGGCAAACGTAGCTGGTAGATACCTTGTCTTCACATCGCATTTCGGCATTCTGTACACTCCACTTCGTGGTCGACAATTAACGAATTATTAATGGGTAAGATTTCTGCTACCAGAAAACATGGCCGCGTCCATCGGCGCTACTTATTTGCAAGTTGTGCGATCCGTATTTAGCACGGATTTCCATTTCCACTATGCCTATACATTCGTGGCATCTTAATAATTGTTCTGTCTATTACTCGCGCGTCACTTCAGCAAAAACATCCGTAATGTGATTAATATTTAAGCGCTTCTGCATACACGATCCGCGAACACACTACCTTGCTGACATACATATATATTATGTATATATATTGTGCACAGATAGTGAGCCGTGCCCCCTGTAACACGAGTGTTCCACAATACGATCCACTGAGACCTTGTGGTTCGCTTTCATAATTTTCCTTTCTTATAGAATTGCACTCATAGTTTAATGATGCTTAATAATATCGTTGCATGCGATACTTCCAAAGTCTTGAAATTTTGAATTTTGTGTTTATCGACAGAAAGTATTAATAGTTTTTACAAAAAAACTTCTTTACCGACGCGATCTTTCTTTATTGAAGTGATGAAAGTGACTCTTGAATCAAGTGATTCAAATTCTTCTCAATCATTTCTTTTATTTCTTTATTTAATAAATATGATTTGTGTTGGAAATAAGTATAATTTTATTTTGTAAAATAAATTTTAAATTGTAGAATGTTTGAATATATTACATTTCTCATTTTTTTTAGAAAGAATAATATGCAATTAAAGTTTGTATAATCATAAAAATCGTATAAAAAAAATCGAATAGCCGATTATATCGAAGAATCAGCTTATAATTTTCTATATAAGCTTCTATTTTCTACATAAAAAAAAAAACATGAAAATATTTGTTTAAAATTTATAATAACCAATAAAAAACTGAAGTAGAAGAAACGTTGCGATGATGCTATATTAGGAAATATGGCAAGAGGCCAACCAGATGGCAAATTATAAATTAAAGAAAGGAATCTCATCAATAGAAATTATTTCAAATCAATAAGGTGTTCCATAATATATTTTCATTTAATATAAATTCGATACAATCGTTCGATACAATTTTTACTAATTTGTATTATCATTTAATCAATGTATTATCATTAAAGAATGATATATCATATTTACATAACATATTTTTAGAAAATTGGAATATATTACTAATATTATTAATAATATTTATATCATTTATGTTATGCATTTGAGAATTAGAATAAAATTATGTCATATATAAAAGAATATTAATATATTAAAGCTTAAAATCGACGTTACTACGTAATAATTATTTATAACAAATGTGAAATTCAAAATAAATTTATATTTTTTCCAATCTCTATTATCTAATACGCTTCAAAATTTTTAGTAATTATATTTATGGTTATATGTTTCAATATTGCTTACATTTTCTTTAATTATTTTTGTTTTCTAAACTTCGTATTAATTAGAAAAAATTAAAAAATTAAAACTTCTCCATATAAGAATTCTTCATTATTTTCAAATAAATTTCATTATTTCATAGAAATTCTTTTAAAAATATTAATTCAAATATATATAATACACAAAATAATCTATTTTCTTTGTTATTTTTGTAATCTCTATCGCATTATTCTTTCAGAAATCCAACAACATCCAATAAAAAAAACGATAATCCTCAGATAAACTTTAAACTCTGAGACCAAAATGATCCGTAATGATGGTTCAACATATTGATACGCTATATTGAAAGTTTTATATAATAATTTCAAATAGAGACTGATCTACGCCACGAGTAAAAATGGAAGAGATGTTATTATTAGGGGAATTTATTTTTCTTAAGAGGTAATTTTGAGATGGTGGATCACCGAGGGCGGTATCCGCATGCCTCTTTAACGAGTCGGTTTCCGACTACGGCCTCTTGCCAACGATGATTTTCAGAACTTGGCACCCAAACGTAATTGCTTTTGCACGCTCGAAACGCCGTTGTCACTCCTCAGTGAGCATTGATGAGAGTAGCGCGTGGTGAATGTTATCTATAACCACGGCAACCACGACGATGATGGTTACGATGATGCTCTGGCACCGAAAATATTTCTAATGAGACAAATTTACACATAACGTATCTGTTGGCTGATTTTCATGCGTGCCCCTCCATCCATTTTAAAACGATTGAATGAAAACTAGTACAAATATTTTACATTCCACTGTCATACAAAGCGAAAATCTTGTATACGCGTGTCTATCACGGCTAATTGATCACCTGATATTATTTATAGCCACCGATTATATATTTCTTCGAGGTTAACAATTTCTCTGCATTCTGTTTCAAACTGTTTCATTCTCAATTTCAAATTGTTGCTCCACTTTTGTTGAAATAAAATGATGGAAATCTTAACTCTCCGGGATAAAATAATTATTACGTAATCGACGATAATTTGTCCGCGAAAAAACGATAAAACGAAAAACAGATTTACTGTTTCGATTCATTTTATAATTTATAATTGGATGCATGCAATTTTATTGATATTTTATTGAATACTACACACGTATCACTTTGATTTCATTTCAATATTTAACGATTAGAAAGTCAGACACAAATTTTAGAAACATCTTTCTTGTAAATTAGAATTAGAAGGAAGAAGAAATAGATGCGTGGAATATTATTTTAATAGGGGTTTGGAACTAATCCTCCTTCACTATTTACATCATTACTGCATGCATTACAACGATTTGTTTAAACGGAGTGGTTTAGTACCGGCAATTTTGGAATGTTTACGAGGTTGAGAAGAATAATAACCGCAGAACAGTTGTTCCCAAGCAGTTTCTATCCGTGTTCGTAGAAAATGGCTTTCGATCTATATTTTCGAGTTCGAAAAATGCATAAAAATCGCTGATGAATCATCTTGAAAGAGTCCCAGGATTCGTTATATTTTTGCTGTACAGCAAGCCAGGTAGAAGTTAGTGTTGTAATGGTTTGCAATGCGTAGGTAGTATCTAATGTAAGAACAGCGACGTGTCTGAAAATTGCATGTCGATCCATTTCGTTATCGCGAAGGAATTATAACTATTTGCGTGAAGACAGATAGAGATATTCGCGAAGGGTATATTTAAATAATCGCCGTCAGATGACGTTGGCATTGAATGACCGCGATAATGAAATCAATAACAATTTTAATCGATAATGAAATCGATAACGGGACTAAACGTGAATAATAAAAAAAAAAAAAAAAAAAAAAAAAAGGAAAAAAAAAGTTATTGATTTCGTTATCTAAATTACGAAATATTCTTGTTTATCTTATTTAATAAATATTTGGAAAATTTCTCTTTTTTTTACTTTTATACACACAATTATATTTAGATATATTTATGTAACTGTGATATATTATAAAAATAAATTAAAAAACAAATATGTGTAGATACTGTTTCATTCACTCAACCACCTCTTTTAACCATTGTGAAAAGTTTTATGAATGAGCACGATATTTTCAAGATATTGATTTCCCCATCCACCCAAGTGCCGATCTGAACGATTCATAACGTAATCACGATTCTATTCGACGCTTTAAATATCACGTTTGAAACGGGATTATTGTTATATAGGAATGAAAATAATCCGTGATCCAGTAATAGGGTACACCACGACTACCGCATCTCAATGATATAATTTAAGAAATCAAAATGTACAGGTGATCGTGCAATTCGAATTGCAATCCTCTCTGTTTGATTTAGCGTCGGCCTTCCGACATTACGGAGGGACCCACTTATAACATATTTCATTTTTCGTCGCGTCGCTCTATTTTTGCGCCCACCAGTTTTCTAGCTGGTTTACCAGACGCTGGTGGATGTCTTTATACCGGGACGGAAAAGCCGCGGCACTTCAGGTATCCGTCGTCCGCCGTGCGAAGTATCCGTCACCATGGTAAGCGTAACGCTTCATCCTCGTCGAATTCTAAGTTCGCGTCAACGTTCTCTCGATATAAGATAAATCGATGGTGATTTTATTTCATAAAAGTGGGCAATACATACGTATACGCATGAATAGTATAATTGTGATATGAAAATAAATTCATTGATGATCGGAGAAATTTTTTAATAAAATATATATATATATATATATATATACGTGATACAATTTGCAGGAGGAAGACGATCAAAAAATGGCTGTAATGCGAAAAGCATTTCAAATGTTCGACACGACGAAAAGCGGTTTCATCGACACGTTGAAAATTTCAACGATATTGAACACGATGGGTCAATTATTCGACGATTCCGATTTGAATGCTTTGATCTCGGAGAATGATCCGGAAGGGACTGGTAAAGTAAACTTCGATGGATTCTGCAAAATCGCTGGACGATTCTTGGAGGAGGAAGATGCAGAGGCGATGCAAGAGGAATTGAAAGAGGCCTTCCGTTTATACGATCGCGAGGGAAATGGATATATTACAACGGCTACATTGAAGGAGATTCTTGCTGCTCTCGATGATAAACTTACCAGTGCGGATTTAGACGGTATAATTGCTGAAATTGATACCGATGGATCAGGAACGGTTGATTTTGATGGTACGTAGACGATACCCTCGAGGGATGAACAATTTCGCTTTATTTGCATAATTTTTTGTAATTCTTAGAATTCATGGAAATGATGACTGGAGAATAATCATGGATTGAAAATACAATTGGCAGAGCGACGTCGAAGACAGTACAGTATTTTAAAATAATATTTTAATATTTTTGTTGATACTAGTATCCTGTGAAAAAATTTGTTTAATAAAACGATAATATAAATTTTCTGCTTCTTGATTATTTGAAAATTCCCCGAACTTGAATCTAGTATATATATATATATATATATATATATATATATATACATATTGGAAAAATAAACGATTTGAATATGGTGAAAAAGATTAAATTTTATAATAAACGTTTGCTCTTGACAGCAAATTTATTCATTGTAATTCATTGTAACATCGATAATTTTTTTTTTTTTTAATTAACAATATCTTGTGCGCGCTAAGTCTCTCACATAAATCATTCGCATACGATTACTAACAACATTTGTGCGCTTCATCGTAGGAATATTTACTGAGTGATGTCATTGGTGGGTTGACCTTGGTGGAAGACGAGAACATCCTTTACGAAAATGTTAGGAACGCTGAGTGCACCAAGAGACAATGGTCTATCCAGTGGGAAACCGAGAGGTTTGCCGTCAAGAGAAATGGCACCTCCAATAACCTCCGAGATCGGCTTATTCTGGTAGTATTCGTTGACAATCTGGTCCTGAACGGTTTGCGGTTGAGCGTACATACTTTGCCAGCCACCAGCGTGTTGTTGTCCACTAGCGACCATACCACTTCCCGAGATTGAGCCTTGGACTTGAGAGTTTGGCCATGTTTGAGCTCCACTCTGGCCTCTTTGCATGCCATATGGAACATTCATTCCTTGAACACCTTGTCCAAATACTTGTTGCACTCCTTGCAGAACGGACGACAGGCCTTGGACACCTTGGACACCCTGGACACCCTGGACACCTTGGACGTCCTGAACACCTTGGACACCCTGGACACCTTGGACACCTTGGACACCCTGGACACCCTGGACACCTTGAGCTTGGACGCCTTGGACACCTTGTTGTACACCTTGTAATCCTTGTAGTCCAGATTGTTGTTGTTGTCCAGATTGTACAGATTGACCGAATGGAGAGGAATTAATATGTAATCCATGATGAGATTGTTGATGTCCATAGATCATTTGAGCAGCATGTTGATGCCTCTGTTGGCTCTGTTGTACCGCTGCCGTTGCTGCTTGTATTTGTTGTTGAACCTGTTGAGCTTGTTGCATTTGTTGTTGATTCCAACTGCCTTGCTGTCCTAACCAAGCGCCTGCATTAACAATTCCAACTCCTTGAATAGAATATGTCATGTCTTGTCCTTGGCCTACAGGATTCTGGATTTGTGTGTTCGGGTATTGTCCGTGGTATTTAGTGTAAAGATTAGCGTAATAGTTTCTAACAGCTGTGAAGAAGAAATCATATAATGCACAATTAGCGATGACATACGTATTCATTTCATTATTATTGATAATATACCTTGAACTTGTTGCTGAGCATTGACCAAATTTTCAGGAAGAACTTCTATATTTTGCTGAATTCCTCCGCCTACTTGAGAAATTTGACCTTGCTGTTTCAGTTGTTGATATTGCTCAACGCTTACGACTTGGTATTGTTGATTTTGGTAAGTCAAACTTTGTTCAGGGATCACTGGTCCATATGGGACGTTAAGTGGGTTTGATGAGGAGATCACAACTAAGAACTGAAGGGGGAAACCTTGTGGCTGACCTTTGGGAAGGGATAATCTAGCAGGGAAACTGAAGATTTGATGTGGCTGTAAAAATATTATTAGATTATTACAAAATTTCCTTAATATCTTTAATCTTTTTTTTTATAAAAAAATCTCTTTATTAATCTTATATATCACCTCAGTGATATAGAATGGTTCCTGGGATCGGATAGCAGCATTGACTCCTCGTTGAATTTGAGAAGTAGATGGCCAATCGGAGCTCTGTCCAGGAGCTTGTTGAGAATTTCTAACAATAGTATTTTCACCAGCATGGACTAAATACAAAATATATTAATCATAAAAAAAATTGTTTATAAATAAATTATTTATTAGAAGAAAAGACATTGAAACTTACGGTTCTGGATAAATTGATCAAGTTCAACAAAGAGATGTTGATTCTTAGAAATATTAATGGGTTGGCCTTGATGATCGTGTTTGGGTCCAAGGAAGACACGGACAACTGCGCTTGGCACATTCTGTTCGCTATGAACTGTAATTTTATATTGATAAGGTTGATGATCCAGTCTCTTCAGATGAGCTCTAACATGAGATTGAGTTTGTTCTTCTTGTTGCTGTTGAGATTGGTGACCAGTAACGGCATCGAGATCAACGTAGAAATCGGTGAAAAGAGTTACAAGTTGACTGACATCAACATTCTGAATGGTAACTCCAGGAAGGATAAGATCATTGTATTGATAGGCAGGCAAAGATTGTTGATATTGTTGATAAAGGTTCATAACTTTTTTATATAATTGATAGAAAACTGGGTCGTGGACGGCAGCTTCTCCAAGTTCAAGTGATGATGGCGTGTAGTCCCAAATGTTTTGAACTTCAGGAGCATTTCCAAGAAGTTTGCGAGCAGCAGCTTGTAGACTTCCATAATACCTATTTAAAATGAAAAACGAATAATAGAAACATATTTATATAATTTTAAATTATAGTTATATATTTTTTATTGACCTTGGATTAACACTTCTACCAGTTCCTTCAATCAGATCACCAAGAATGTTCATACCCTGTGGTTGATACAGAGAAAGAAAGACGCCTTGTGGAGTAATAACATTTCCAGAATCAATAGCATCTCTCAGTCTTTTTTCTAAAGTCGCAACATATTGGATAAGCTGGTTTCTCTGAGGTTGGAGTTGAAGATTCTGAGGACGGCCTGCGAATTCAAGTCCATTGAGACCGCGAAGATGAGGTTGATAGAGACTTTGTACATTTTCATATTCAATATCTTTAATAGGACCAAGTCCGTTCGAAAGACGATTAAGTTCATAGCGTGCCAAAAGTTGTTGATGAAGGTACAGATATTGAGCTCCGCGACCAATATTGGTTTGTTGATCTTGTTGTCCTGCTTGTTGTTGCAAATATTTTCCTACAATCTGTTGTTGATATTGTTGTTGAGTTAAAGGCTGTTGTTGCTGTTGTTGTTGATCCTTTACAGAAATTGATTACATTAATTTATGTTTTCCAAAATAATAATTATATTATTTATAACGTTTTTTCAAAAAAGTATTTAATATTGATTTTTAGAATATTTACTTCTTGAATGTATCCAGCAAGATTAACTTGGGCATAGTATGCAGCAAGACCAACATCTTGAGTAAAATAAGATAACTGTTGTTCATCATGAGATAAGAGTGCAGAATAGTTAACAGGAATAAGAATGTTTTGTTGATTGGTTTTTTCTTGAGTGTTTTGAATAGCAATATTTTGAGCTTCTTGAATAACTCGTGAATCCAAGTGATGTTGGGGTAAAATTTCATAAACTGGTGGGAAGATGACACCTTGGGTATCTTGACGAGTTAATACAGCAGCAACAAATGCCTGTTGAATGAAACAGCAAAATTATGTAATAAAATATAGTATATACAATATGAGACATAATAAAAAATATTTTTAATCTATTATAATAATATATTTTTATTTAAATATATATCTTATACCTTAAGAAATTGTCCCTCATTAACATGGATACGGGCCCATGCAGCAGTTTTGAGGAAAGTCTGGTAATCCTTAGCACCCAAAAGAATCCTATAGAGGAGAGAAACTTCTTTGCGAAGTTGGCTGATCGAATTGCTGAAAGTTGTACCTTGTGGTTGAACTAAACCTGCTTTTACAGCACCTGCATAGTACATGACAATGATTGGGTTCTTATACTGATGAGAATTACTCTCAATGTCATAACTAGCACCAAGATTTTGAAGTTCTTGATTTGGGATTGGTTGGGAAATTTTCTGTAGAAGTTGGATGACATGTTGTTGTTTGTTAAGGAGATCCTGGTCAGCTAAAATAAATAAAAGCATTTTTTTGATATCTAAAGATAATAATATTTACATCATATTATATTTTTGAAATATTAATATTAAAAAAATTTAATAAAACAAATCAAACAAATAAAACAATTCACTTATTAAGAATCAATATTTATTGCAATATATATATATATATATATATTATAATTTAAACAATATTAGAATTAAAGAAAATAAATAAATCAAAAAATTTCAAGAAGAAAAGAATAATAATATAAAATTATTTTCATAGCATTCTTATTAAATCTTTTACAACTTAAAATTGTAAAAATAATAGTTTTAAATAACTCACCAGCACGTTGTTTAACGTTGGGGGCACAGACCCCTAAGGCTACCAGAGCCAGCAGGATAATGAAATACCTCATTGCGAAATTCAATGATGCGATGCGATGTTGACTGTCTGTTCAACCAGTCTTTTATACTTAAACTCTATCAAAGAAGGGGTTTATCGGCGACCTGCCGACCCACCTCCTTCAAGATTTCGCAGTCTACCCGCGATATCCATAACTAAATATTTCGAATGTGTTCGGCGCATTCGATCGAAGGTTAAATGATGATATGTATCATTGCAAATAGATTATGCATCAAGTCCTCTTATACGATATAGAATTAAATACTGGAATTTTTACCGGTCTTCATTCATTATATTTATTCAATTTTCTTTGAAAAGCTTTATTTTCATTTTACTAAAATATTATGTTATTAGTTATATTTATTTTAATTTTTATATTTTTCATTTATAAAATTCAACATAAAAAATATCCAACAGAAAAAGATCAAATTAAATTATATTAATTATTTTAATTTTATAATAATAATATTTTCTAATTTTAATTCAAGTTCGATAAATATAAAAACAATTTTAAAAAAAAAATTTACATTTACATTTACAATTTACATTAATTTATAATTGTTAATACAAAACAAAAATAATAATGGAAAAAGGATGGAAACATAGAACAATATTCGAAGATTAAATATTTATTAAACAATAAATCTTTATTTATAATATTATTTTCCAATTAATTAAATAACTGAATGACTTTTAGCTTACTTACAAAAAGAACATAAAATGTTGAGGGTCATCTGTATCTTTGAACGCGGGATAATATAATAAGATAATATATATGTCTTGAACTTTTCAGGTGATTAATATATATGCTAAGGTTATCATTTTATTTATTTTTTAAATGTTCGACTATATTTTTAAATCCCTGGGGGGTATAGAAAAAAAATATACAAAATTATATTAATATGCAATTTATAGTAAACAAATAAAAAGACTATGAAAATATATTTTTTTTGTTTTTCATTAAAAAAATTTTTGAATTAGTACACAACAAAATTTATAATAATAATATTTAATAATCATAAAATTATTATTAATTTTTTATATTTATTAATATTTATTTTTATATGTTATCTTCTATTCATTCGTTCATATGAGAAAATTTCATTATGTGACATTTATATAATCTAAATTTTATTATATCATTTATAAAATAATATTATTTAAAATGTTTTTATAAATAATGTCATTTATAAAATAATTTAGTAACAAATAATTTTTTGCTTCTATTGATAACATATAAAGCATTACAAATAATTGCATGTGCAAAAAAGAAAAAAAGAAATCTTCTATAAGTGATAATAAAGTAAAAGTATATTTTCGTTTTAGATAATAGTAACGCAATCATTCACAATTTTTTTTTATTATATTTCACAATACCATTTCACTTTTTATTTTATTATATTGATGCAATAATTCTAATTAATCAATAATTTTTAAAAATTTTAAAAACTATTCAAATAAAAAATATTTTTTAATATAAAATTTTATGTATATATTCTTTAAAAGTATTGAAAATTAAATAAAATTTTATATGATTTTTATTTATTTATATTTTTATATTTTTAAAATTTTATGATGCATAATTAGAGAATAAAAAGTGAAAACAGAGAATAAAAATGTAAATTTATATTTGATATTTTATTATTTATTTAAAAATTAATCTCAAATAGCAAAAAATATTTAAGCACTATCGATTTCTATGAGTTCATGTATAACAAGTATAATATGTGATTTAAAAGTGGGCGCTATAAATCCATTAAATTCATTCCAAAAATAGAATCATTTTCTGTTCATCTTATTTCTTGTAATTATTATATCAATCAAAAACGAAACAATTATTTAAATTATTATTTATTATCCTTTCGCTTCTTTTAATTGCTTTTTTACATTTATATGCGCACGTGTACACATTTTATATGTATGTACTGTCATTTGAGGTACCAAACGTAACCTTGAAAAGGCCACCCCGAAGCATAAGTTCAATCATAGCGGGTGAAGTAATATTTTTTTTTTTATCTATCATAAATCTTAAGAATTATATTGTGATTTCTGATTGTAGACAATCTTTGATAAAAATGTCTTTGTAAAAGATCGAAAAATTATTGAAAGTGAAGTTTAGTTGCTGATATAGGTGCAAATCATAGGTTAGAATATAATACGATACATTAGTTAAAAAACTACGAAAAATGTTTTTAAGAAATTAGGCAGTGAATGCCAGCGTTACATGCAATAATTATTTTATTAAAATCAACATGGTACAACGTTCAGTGGCGCCTAGGCGCAATGTTAGAATTCTATTAATTGGTGATCGCGGAGTCGGCAAGACCTCTTTAATATTATCTTTAGTTAGTGAAGAATATGCAGAAGATGTACCCTGTAAAGCGGAAGAAATTACTATTCCGGCTGACGTTACACCGGAACAAGTACCAACACACATTGTAGATTATTCAGGTATTTAGAAATGATATTTTCATTGTTTTTATAAACATTAAATGACAACTACATTAGTGTAACTTTTATTTATAGCTGCTGAACAAACTGAAGATCAGTTAACTGATGAAATTCAAAAAGCACATGTAATTTGTGTTGTATATTCTGTAGTTGATGAAGATACTTTGGACAGGGCAGCTACTTATTGGTTACCATTGATTAGACGTTGTTCATCAAATAATCGTTGTCCAGTTGTCCTTGTGGGAAATAAAATTGATCTCGTTGACTATTCTACAATTGAGGTTTAATAAATTAAATGATTTATATATTTATTTATTTTTTTAATTTAAACTTTTTATTTATTTTTTTTTTTTTTAGGCTGTATATCCTATAATGAAAGAATTCACTGAAATTGAGAGTTGTATTGAGGTAAAAAAAATTGATTATACTAATATAATATAATATAATTAAATAGCTCATAATAAAATATTTTAATTCATATTATATTTTTATAGTGTTCTGCCAAAACATTACAAAATGTTTCAGAAACATTTTATTATGCACAAAAAGCTGTTTTACACCCTACCACACCACTTTATAATTATGATACTCAGGAGGTAAAAATTATAATATATATGTAATTTAAAATATATAAATAATTTATTAATATAATATATTAATATTTAGCTTACTGAAGAATGTAAAATAGCACTACAAAGAATTTTTAAAGTGAGTATATATAATATATTCTTTTTTATATTATATTATATTTTTAGTGAATATACTTTTAAATATGTTATATATTTATATAATAATATTTTGTATACAGATATGTGATTTAGACAATGATGGCTTGCTAAATGACATGGAACTAAATGCATTTCAACAATGGTGCTTTAATACTCCATTACAACCACAAGTATTGGAGGATGTAAAGGCTGTATTATCAAAAAATATTCAAGATGGCATTTGTTGTGGATGTGTTACTATGAAAGGTATTTTACATATTGTGTTTTTGAAAGATCAATATGAAAATACATCCTTGTTATTTTTAGGTTTTATGTATCTTCAATGTTTATTTATACAACGAGGAAGAAATGAAACAACATGGGCTGTGTTAAGAAAATTTGGTTATGACAATGAATTACAAATGTCAAAAGAATATATATATCCACCGTTAGTACACAATAAAAGATATTTTAAATATTTTTTTATTTTTATTTATTATTATATTTATTTTCTATGTAATATACAGATTAAAGATTCCAGTTGGATGTACGACTGAATTATCACATAAAGGACAAGAATTTTTAACATTATTATTTATGCAACATGATCGAGATCGAGATGGTGCGCTTTCTCCATTAGAAATGGAATCATTGTTTTCACGATGTCTAACTCCACCTTGGGGAGATGAATATAAATATATTGTACCAACTAATGAAAAGGTATTTATTTTTTTCATTATAATTTCTTTTGTTTATAACATTTTTTTTGCAATAGGGATGGATTACATTTCAAGGATATATGTGTCAATGGTCATTATTGACTCTTACAAATGTACGAAAAACATTAGAATACATGGCATATTTAGGTTATAACATGTATAATAATGAATGTCAAACAAATGCGGTTCTAGTTACTCGTGAAAAAAAGTTAGATTTAGCAAAAAAACAATCAAGTAGAAATGTTTATAGTTGTCATGTAATTGGTCCAAAAAGTAGTGGAAAAACAACATTATGTAGGACATTTATTGACCCTAAGCTCGAGGTAGATATATATATGCATATATAATCGTGTTGCTCACATAACATATATATATAAAATATAATATAATTGCAGAAATTAACCGAAGAAGTTGTGCCGCCGAGTTCGCATATTACTGTAAATACAGTGCATGTGTATGGTCAGGAAAAGACAATAATTTTACGAGATATAAATATACTTAATGTTCAAGATGCTCTAACTCCAGCACAAATTCAATGTGATGTGGCAGCTCTTGTTTATGATGCTAGTAATCCCAAATCATTTGAGTATATTGCACGGATTTATATTGTAAGTTTTATATAATTTTGTGTAAAAGTATTGGAATTATTCTTTATGATTTATTATATTTTTCAGAAATATTTTGCAGATAGTAAGATTCCTGTTCTTATAATAGCAAATAAAAGTGATCTTTCCGAAGTAAAACAAGATTACTTGCTACAGCCAATAAGTTTTTGTAATAAATACAAATTAATGCCACCGCAACCTTATAGTATCTCCCGTACAGTACGACGTGAAATCTTCGTTAAATTAGCAACAATGGCAGCTTTCCCGTAAGTTCAATTACTTAAAATATTGATTAGGTAGATTTTATATGAAAAAGCTCCAAAAAAATTATTTTAAAAAACAATCAGATTTATTTAAATTCATTATAAAAGAAATATAAAATTGTGGCGCATTTGTTTGATATTATCAAATATTTTTTAGTATTTCTTATAAATTTTTATGAAAAATATTATATCTTTTATACTGATTTATAATTATTAAATTTATAATATTAAACACTAACAAAAAGATTTCATGTTTAGCCGCTTTCAAGGAGCATGGGTATTATTTTACAGAGACAGGTTGGTCTGAATTTTTGCAACATCGTAAGCATTGTAAGCTTGAGCAAATCGTGAATCACATTTTTTTTTCATATTTTATTGCACGTATGCACAAATATATTTTTTTAAATGTGCTAGGCGATTTGCTCACATTAAAAGATATCGCATGATTAAGACTATCATAACAAAGTCTTAAATCTTTTCAGTCGTTTGAGGCGAATGGTCCACATGTTGCTTGTCAAACCCTCACCCACTCAGTGGTGGAATTCTTTTACAAGGTTTTTGTTTGTATTATAAGTTTCCGTTAATTTCACGGAGTGCTCACGACTTACAATACGAAATAATATCAATATTATTCTTTTGCATGAGCATGAAACATGTTTAATCTTTAAATCTTAATTTAATTTTCTATATTCTATATATATTTCAGTTTAATTTATTGCGCGTGTTTAATTGCAATAAATACAATTATCAAAGTCAACAATTTTATTATAGAATAGTATATTATGTTTATATTGTGAAATAATACATATATATGTATATGTACATACATAAAAATATTGGACAAATTATATGGAGAATTTATAAAATTTTATAAATGATTATTATAATAAATAATTCTTAATTTTTCAGACATATAAATCAATTTGGATTACTACAAGGAGATTCAATTGTCTGGTGGAAAGCTGGTCTTGGAATTGCAGTTGCTACCGTTGCAGGTTTTGTGGTGATGCGTGTCTTAAATACAGAAAAAAGATAGTCTACCATATTCCTTTTCTTGCACATTTAACTGCCTCTTTACTTCAAGTATAAAGCCGTCTTTAAGAAACGCGTTAAGTTAATAAACAATGTTCTTAAATCAGTAATTTTTTATATGTCCTTGATTATTTCATAATAAGGATCAGAACATTTTATTTATAATTTAATCTTCTGAAACATACCATTTCATATGAATGATTAATTTTTATGTTTGTATCCATTTTGACATTTCATCCACATATCATGATAAGCTTTGCATGTATCTAGATCTTCGTTTCTTGAAGCGCATTCGAAGAATTCTCGTATTTCAGGAATACACGGTTCTTCAGAATTATTTTTAGATTCTGCTTTAGCAGAAGATACATGATTAATGTTGCCAGCAAGTGTGCTTCCAATTGCTTGGCCCTTATATGAATCAGAGAACCATTAATTTTCAAAGAAAACAAAAAAGTATAAAAAAAATTAAATTAATACTTACTATAATAGAACCAACAGCAACTCCAGCTGCTGTACTAGCAGCAGATTGAAAAGTTGAAGATTGACTGCTATTATTTGCCCATGGTTGAGATGATGAATTTTTTGCCTTAAATCTACATAAAAATATGTAATCAAAATTTAAAACTTCAAAATGTAAAATATTTTCTCATGATCATTTATCATTATTATTATATATTTATTATTATATGAAAATTAATATTTATTTTACATTATTTTTTGTTCATTTAGTTATTTAAGAACATAAATATAGAAATATAAGAAGATTAAAATAAATATGTGTAAATAGAAGTCAATTTATTTCACTTCTATACATACAAAGATATTGTCTAATACATATTAATAATAATTTTAACATAATTTTTATTTATTGTAAATTAAATCCAAATTTTTATAAGATTTATTAAATTAATTCACATGATGCTGAGCTCCTAAATTTCTTCTATCATCCAAATGCTTTTGGGAAGATACTCGTTTAAACTACATCTGAAATTAAAAAACATAATATATATAAAATATATATAATACAAATAATATAATAATAATAATAATAATTTAAACTTACTATTAGCTGCTTTGCATTGACGGAGAGCTTCATTAAACCCTTCGCACAGTGTAAGATCAGATTGATTATTAGCACATTCCAAAAATTGTTTTACTTCCCAAGCACAAGCTCCACCAATAGGTGCAGAAGCTGGTGCACTTTGTGCTACAGCAGGTGCTGCAGGTGCAACAGCAGATTCACTAGATCCTCCACTGAAAAGTCCAGTTACTGCATGTCCAATAGTATGACCAACAGCAGAACCTATAGCGACACCTCCAGCAGTAGCAGCCATTTGTCCCATGAGGGATGGCTGCTGAGGTTGAGCCATCATTGGTGTTGCTGCAGGAGCATGTGCAGGAGTATGTGCAGGTTGTGCAGGAGCTGCGACTGGAGCTGATGTTCGTCTAACCCTAAAAAATAAAATTATTTTTATTACACAATTACAAAATTATATATAATTATAAAAGAAATAAAAAAAAAAAGCGATCACATAATTTGATTATGAATATCGTCAAATAAAATCTGCAATGTCATTGAATAATTAAAAATATTTTACAAAAAATTATGCGTATAAATCTAATTCGAAGAAAAAATACTTACGTCCTTGGTGGAGGATTTGCTGCACGTCCACGTCGTGGCATGTTTTACGTTTTTTTTTTGCACACTAGATTTCGTATAACACAACAAACGTTCGTACTCTTGCAAGCTTGTTCTGATACTGAAATGAAATCTTTAATGCCTTTATACGTTATGCAAGCTATTCAAACTGCGCCGACTCAGAATTATCGAACTTTCCAGAAATAAAATAGGAAATACTCCCAAAAGAGAGACAACTTCAGTTCATTTCATAACTTCAGAAATTAAAAAAAATTAATAAATTTTAAATAATGAATATATGAAAAATTAATAAAAAATCATTAATAATTATATATAATTATATTCTGTTTACATGCATAAAACTTATTATATTATTATCTACCAATTTTTAATAATATTTAAATTATGATGTTGGCTAGCATGTTAGATATATATATATATATATTAAATAGAATATTTCACATGATTTCATGATCCATATTACGCATATATAAAAAATAATATTTATAAAAAAAATATTAATTTTATATTGTAGAATGTATTAATTATTTTTTTATTTTTAAAATAACAATATTTAAAAATAAAAACTTACAAATCTTTATATTATAATCTTTATATCTTTATATATTTAAAAATAAAAACTTACAAATCTTATATCTTATAAATATATCATTTTATAAAGTATTATTGCATGATTTTATGCAAAATATTCTGTTTATAGTTCTTTGATATAAAATAAATAGATAGTATATAAATATGTTTATATATTTATATACTTATTCAGAAAAATTAGTCAGCAATTATTAATATATAAAAAATATATATTTCTTTTAAAAAACATAAATTAATTATTTCCGCAATTATATAAATTGAAGATTATATAATTCATATAATGTATAGTTTTTCAAATAATAGACTAACCTTTTTTGTTGCATCGGTGGGATTGGAGATGGTGATGCTCGACCTCGTCTTCCACCTTTCTGGTTGGTTTTTTTTCTCCCAGACATTATTATTTTTATTTTTAATTTATTCGAAATGATTCATTTTTATATCAAGTAAATTAAGTGATGATGATGATTACTTTAATATAACAGTAATTACTTTTCAATAGAATATTAGAAATTAATCATTATTATTTTTTATTGTACTCTGAAGTATGCAAAAAAATATTGTATAAATAATAATTTAACGATTTACAGCCTTATAAAATTTTCAGAATAACATATATTCTTTCACTTGTTCATTTCAATCATTTGAAATTTTTTAATAAAGCAATTCTATTCTGTGAAAATTCTACCAGAGTGCGCCATAATCTCAGCTTTCTCAATGTGTTTACATATATATTTACATATATATTTACACAGATATTAAAATGCAACAAAACAATATAAATATGTATTTATTTTCAAATCTTTGCAGTAGCTATTAAATTTTTATTGTTATGTGCATTTTATTTATTTTTGTAGAATTAAATAAATTGTATTCATGATGATTACTTTAATAGTAAACAATAATTTATATTCTTTGAAAATAAATAAGTTAACAAAGATATATGTAATTATAATGTAATTATAATGTAATTATAATAATAAATATATTCGTATTATTTCAAATATATTATAATTTATATTTACGCAATTTAAATAAATATATATTTGTGTACATATATTAATATTAAATATTAAATAATAAAAATATAAAATTTGTAACATTATTTTTAAAAATAACTATTTAATTTATTTTAATATCATAGTTATTATATATTATATATATAATATTATGTAATATATTATATTATATATAATAATATATTTCAATAATATTATTAACAATTTGTTTTTTTTGTTTAGATATATTAATATGTACTCAAAAGAAATGTAATGAATTTTATCATTAAACAAAAATGCAAATGAAAATGAATAAAAAAAACTAAAATTTTAAAAAAAGAAATAGCTGTTTTAAATATGAGGGAGAAGTTTCGAATGGAGCGCGATGATTTGGTCAGTTTCTGCGTCGTTTCTTCTGTCTCTAGCAGTGTTATCGGCTTGTTATCGTCGCGCAACACGTGTCAATATAGGCGCGCATTGGCCGCAACCGCTGGGTGCATTCACCGACACATGCGCACATTAGCTGAACAAAACTCTTCATAAACCGGCGGGAACATGTTACTCATGACTCAGTATACATGATGCCACGGCTTGGCCGCGATAGATCACGCATTACGGTTATAACCCTTTCCTTTCTTCGTTTTTTTATGGTATTACCACAACCGTTTTCATCATTAAAATTTCTTGACAGATAGATCATATACATAACCTTTCTTTTTCATTCGCGATATGATATTCAGTGTTGTGTTATAACAAAGAAACGCGACCGATGTATCAATTCAGCAACATTCTCCCTCATCGAGATAAAATATTCTTTTTTAATCAAAAAAATCGAAGGAACAAATAAAAAACAACGCAGAATATTTTTGGGAAAGGAATGATCGTTCGTTTAATCATAGAAAAACAACAAAAGATTAAGGAAGATTGCCTATCCAACGAACACGGTGAGTGATTGTTTTTGTTTTGATCGTTGTGAAACACGTGCGTATCGGCAAGTGTCAGTATAGTCTGCAGCAAAGCGGTATTATATATAGCTATGGTGGCAATTTATTTGTATATATTATTAGACGCAATTCAAAAATTATTTTAAGAAAACTGATGTAATATCTGATGGTGGCTATGAAATATGAAGCGCATTTAATACGACGATAGTGATAAGGCTAGAGACAAACACCTTTCTGATTCGCAATTCGCGATGAAATGAAATGAAAGAGAGAAAGAGAAGATGAAGTTAAATAAAGAATCGATGAGAAGAAAATAGGTGCCTTGTTCGAGCGCTATCAAATTTAAATTATACGTCGATTGACGTGTTTGTGTCACACACTCACTCATGTCAATCCTCATGTCTCATGCTGGTAAACAGAGCTATAATCTGTCTCATTTATGAAAACATTTAAAAATTATATTCATATTTTTTTTTTGTAGAAGTTTCTCATTTTTTCATCTTGTTTCCTTTTCTTCGAAATTTGTTTGACGTAGTACCACCCCTGCGTCACAACGGCCCAAAATTATTCTTCCCAGTAACACAAACGCGTGGCAATCACGGAGTTGCGCACTTCTTTCATGGCGCTGTGCCAATTTCAAAGTTCAGGTACTCGAGATCGCAGCATGTATAGGGTGTTTCTTTATTGATACTGATATTTTATATATAAATATATGATAGATTTAATTAATAAAAAGAAAAATATAATTATTAAATTTTAACTATTAAATTTTTCATTTCAATTTGTCATTTATATTTTTTATATTTTTTATATATCTTTTAATTTTCAGAATATTTTTAATCATGTTTGGCGTTCGCCTAACATCATATTTTTTTTATTTTTTATTTGCTATATGAAAATTTAAAATTCTCGAAAATATCATTCCCACAAATTATTGTAATATTTCAATATTAATTAATAATTAATATATTAAATAATAATTCAATATTAATGTAATATTACAATAAAATTTTATCTGAAAAAAATCACAAATATGAATTACCAGTAAGCAAGAAATTCAATTATTCAAAATTCGAAAATCAATTGTCAGCAAAGCAATAAAATTTCAAATAGTTCTGTATCATAAATTAGATAAAAGGAACTTTCAAAAGATATATCATCGCTCAGGTAGATCCCTTCACTATTATCTGCTAGTTAAAATTAAGCGCTCCATTCAGCATAATATTGTTTCAAATCTCATTAACTGAATAAGTCACGCTGGTGATTCTTGTGTTGCAGTATGATTTGAGTATGAGCAACAACGAATGAACAGAAAAACAATGAATAAGTGAATTAATCAATGAACTTGTTACATATCGATGAAGCATGGAGTTCCGTTTTTCCAAGTTATGTGCAAACGGATAATTCATTGGAAATCCTGGAACGCAAGATGTTGACAGAAAAATCCATTAATTCGCATATCAAATAACACCAAACACAAAATCTGCATTTAAAATTAATCCTTTTTCTCTTTCTTATTCAAATTAATTCCAAAACTCGTTTTTACCTCAAAATCATATTATTAACTTGGAATTGATATACTGTAATACGAAGATATTGCTGATAAAAATTTTATATAATGTGATATAATTTATATATTTCTATATAATTAAAAATCTATATACATCGAATTTATTTCATCAAATAATATGGATAATACACATATATATATATATACATTATATACAAGAATTCGTATTCAACGAACATTATCGCTATTAATATAATACTAATAAAAATAAATTGATGTTTATAGATTATGATTATATCGATATATATCGTATATTCATCGACAAGTAAATATTTTCCTCTTTTTTTTTATAAAAACAGAGACACAGATGGTAATAAAACCGATTAATCATCTCTAATGTGTTTCCTGGTTTGAAAATATATTTTCGACATTTTTATCAAGGTTTATTTTATCAGACAGCCTTTGATGGATAAAAATGATTCATTATTAAAAGATTTGATAAGATGTCAATCTTATACAACTTTTGTCAGTCGAAGAACATTCATCCTTGGTGTTTTAATCGATCGTACATATCAACTTTTCTGCTGATCCTTGCATAAACATTGTTAAATGCTTCGATTTATAAAGTATGTTTTATCGTTGCAACGTGACTAAGAACAGAAATGCATAATGCGGAAATTCTGTAATACCATATATCGAGCAATATCAATTTATAGAAAAAAAAAAAATATTCATATTATATTAATTCGTACGTATTTTTGTTTTTTCAATAAATCTGATCAATGATATAAGATATATCTATAAGTATATTATGTGAGAAATATTTTATCTATTATTAGATTTAATATTTATTATTATTATTATTATTAGTGTTCACATCTGAACCAAATTCTCCAAGGCGAACGACCTTTAAACTTGAGTCAGAGTTCATTGGCCGGAACCCAGAGACATAAAGAGATATTTTGCAAAGGGTTATAAGTACAAGAAGCTCATAAAATTGAACAAAGCCGAAGGAGTGACATAAATATGACACGCATAAAAAATTTCAGATTCAAGTTTACGAATATTACTTTGAGAAGTAAATTTATTATTATTCAAATTTATTATTCTCTCAAATTAAACAAATAAGAGAATTTTAAGATAATAAATAGTATATGAATAAATATATGTATTAGAACATATATATCATATAGAATCTTTTTCTTGGAAAAATATATTTATTTCAGTATTATTTTTTAAAAATGATATGAATACATTGATAAAAATTAGACACCTTATATATCGTCGATAGCTTCTGTTTATACACGAATAAAGGTGGTGAGCCTTGCACGTGAGAAAGTCAAATCGAGGACGAAGACGATTGAAATGAGGAAAAGTAACGGAGCGAATAACGGGTTGATTTTAACGCATCTTGCCGTTACGAACGCGTTTATAAGCCTAGTTGTTAGGTCATAGTAGATCATGTAATTTTACGATCGAATGCATGTTAATAATATGCTATAATTATATGTTAATAATATATTTACATATTAATCTTAATGTTTATATTTATTTTCGTTTTATAAGAGAATGCATACTTTTGTAGATAGAAATATTAATCTATTTAATATTATTTTAATTTTTATTCAATATAGTTTAGAAATCTTATTTAACAATAATTATCGATAACGGTAATATATTTAAGAATTCTTACATTAAACATGTCTATGCTAGAAAAAATGAAATAATCATCAAGTTTACGAAAACGTTTTATTTCAAGAAATTTGTGATGCTAATATTTATGTGAATAAATTGATGCAATAGGATTTCCAGAATTTTATTAGCCATCATATTTATTTATTTCCTTTGAAACAAAATTTAGTAAATAATTTGTTGAACATAATTGAACAGTTATTCATATGATGAAAAAGTAAATGCAGCAATAATTAAAGCTATTAAATAAAATTATATATTATTAGAATTTGAGAAAATAATAAAAAGTTTAAAAATTAGAAATAAAAAATTTGAATGTTATAAATATTAAATATTAATATTTTATATATAAGCCATTTTGCGATAGATCATATCGATCGCTCGAATATTATCGAGGAGTGTAGTTACTTACCCGCCAAACTTCGGAACGTTCGTTCGCGCAAGTGCAATTCGCGGTGGGAGATCTCTTGTATCATCTGGGGGGTTTAAAGTAGTGGGGAATCTTTGAAAGAGCGGATTAAACGCGAAGCAGCTATCACCGCGTATATACCAGTACTATTGGCATGTTCCGACAAATACGCGTTTTGAGCTCATATGAGCATTATATATTAATTAAACGTTTTATTTGCGATGATTTGCGAGTGTACCGCCAGAGCACGCGATTAACTAAATGGCTTACATAACTTGCGCGGTAACATTAATTATTTCGAATAAACCGCATACATTTTATTTTTCATATCGTGAATATTATTTTAATAAATCCGAATTAGTGACAATCTTTAATAACTACGTGAATACGATTAGTGAAAGTCACCCTTATTGGAGCACTCTTTCGTTTCTTCTCATGAATACGAAATAGAGTTGCCGGTTCTTGGCTCGCTCAATTGGCACTTATGTGTTTTTTAATGTTTTGTTAAAATCGACAATAAAAACCATGTGCAGTGCTGAATAATAATTAAATATCAAAGTTATTTCTAAAAGTAATTCAACAAGAACGAATTTTAAATAATTAAAATGTGTTGCATATGAATTTAAACGTGGCGGTGACCTAGAAACAATTCAAAGTAGTAACTTTATCATTGGAGTAGACAAATCTCGCAACGGTGCCAAGAAAAAACCAAGTGGGGGATTAAGAAATGCGATCATTGTTCGTTCAGATTGTTGTGTGACAATGAGTTACGTTTGGACTATGAAATTCGACTTATGAAATTCGCGCCACGAAACAAAATTTCTTTTTGAATTATCATGAATATATTTATTTTGTATTTCAACAAATTATATATATTATTCTATAAAATTTCTAAAGTTTCAATTAAAATGAAAAAAAAAATTGAAAAAAGAATTTGATAATATAACAAAAATAACAAAAATACGAAAAATAACAAAGAGAAAATCACATGCGGTAACGATTGTTATCGGCAATAATAGACAAGAGTCGTTATTGAATTATTTGGTGAAATTTCTTTTCTGCGATTGTTCTAGTTCGTGCTCAAAGACGTGCCAATGGTTAAGCATTCCATCTATAAAACGCGTAGTTCACGTTTGCTGTGGAGTTGACGCACTGCCCGCGATCGTTGCATGATATCTCATGTTTTTTGGAACACGCGGTCGTGTATGTGTTCCAGTCTCGCGTCTCGTGCACGAATTTTACGGTGACCTTTAACGGACATATATTGAATCAAGCGTGTGCCGAAAGTGCGGTGAAGTAAAAACGAAGTGTTGTGGCTTATCACACGTGAAGATGGAGGATACAGAAGCCAAAATCATACCGGGAATCAGCATGTCCGTACTCATACTCATGAGCACGCTGTTTCTTGGCGGTGTGGTCCTTGTAGTCGGTTACATTGTTAGCCGGTTGTCACAGTCCAATAAATCTTCAGATTCAACGAAAAGTAAGCACTGCTATAAATAAATTTTACTAGAAATAATCTCCTACAACTCCTGGAAGAAAATCACGCTTGCGTGTTCGCGAATCCTACACCGCTGAGTACGATTTTCTTTTCTTTTCGTGTTTTCACTTGCAGACTGAGATAAAAGAAATTTCATAAGATGAAGCAAAATGCTAAATAAATATATTAAATGAAACAAGTTCTGTCGACATATCTAAATTTCATAAACAAGAAAAATTCCTCTCATTTTGTCTTATCTATATTTACGCGAGAACTTATATTGATAAATGTTTTTTCCTATAATCAGGCTACATTCCTAACGATTTTAATCGTTGGTTATAAACGAATTATATGTATTCTAATTATTATTACGCATGGAATACATTTAAATATGCTCATGCTTTTTAAAAGAAAATTTGCAGCGAAAATATGAGTTATTCAAAATAAATTGATTGAAATAGGATACAATATAATAGCAGTAATGATACGCGTGTTGCAGGCACATTTTATAATATAAAATATAATTTGATCTGTTCCCATATTAACGCGAAGAATTGGCGGGAAATTACAGTTTTGGGAAGAATAAGAGTTTTGTCGACTGTTTGTTATTTATGAATTGTTATATATAAACGACTTCCGTGTGAACATAACTATAATATTAATAATGATATTGTATTTGGAAGAATATTTCATTTCATCGCAATAATTTAAATGTTTTATATTTCAGTTTCATCATAATTATATTATTACTATATATTTTATCTTATATATATATATATTGGCCTAATTTAATGAATAAATTATTTACTTGATGAGATAATGAACTATTTAACTGAAAAGATTTGTACCTATGAAGCTGGAAAAATTAATACATTATTTTGTTACGAATCCATTAGTATAAAATTTTGATAAATTTTTAATTATTTTCTTTTATCGAAATAAGAATAATATAGCGTATTGTTTTTTCGTAAAAATTGAATTAGACAAATCAAATAATGGGGTTACAATATACGGTGTGGGGTGAATCAAAGAAGACAAAGAGAGAAGTGCAGCTGCGTCGCACGCAATATTTCGTGCTGGGATACGCTTCAATATACTTCATGAACTAAACTATATGCATTAGACCGTTTTTATATTTCGAAATATTTAGAAGTATCTTTTTTAGAGGTTAAGTTCAACGATACTGTCTTTTTTTTTGTTTTCTCTTTTTTACTTACTTTTGATTTATATACTGTTTATTGCGAAGTAATTAATTAATAATTATTTTATCAAAATTTGTTTATAGTAATTTTTATAAAAGTTTTTATTTATTTGATTAATTAAACGATTAATTAAATTTACAATATAATCATTAAAAAGCAAAATTAACAATATTTACACAACGTTAAAAGTACAATCGTGGAACTTGAATCGTACATTTTCAAAGACTCCCAATTTTCGCGGCATAAAAGATGTAATTATTAAAGCGATAGGGTTAATCAGAAGTCGAGTCATAGGCAAACATGTGCGATTCTTTCGTGCACTAGAACTAAATCTTCATCGCCATGACAATGAATGTATCATAGGAAAGAAACAGAATGTGGTAGTTTTCTCTGTTACCCGAGTAAGAGCGAGGAGTAAGAGCCACGCAACGGGCACCCTTGTGTATAAATAAACCGACATCGCGCCTGTATATTTATACGCGCGTCTCGCGTGCGTACACGTGTACTTACGAGGAGAAACGCTCAGGGCCGTATGGACGAATACGCTTGACGAATGGACAATTGAGATTAACCTGTTGGGATTTTTTTTCGAGGACTTTTTATTTATGGCAACCGGAAGCATCTATTAAACACGTTTCTGTCGTTCATCCTTAAATTTTGACCCTGAAAATGACTCGATCGATAAAGAACATTATTGAGGTTACATAGGAACATTATTTGAAGTAACATAGATTTTTTTATTCGATATATTTCGTTAATAATTATTTAGATGTTATTGATGGCATAAAGCTTAAATAAATTTTTTAGATCGATCATAAAATTATTCAAAAATTTTTTACATAATTTTTAAATAAATTTAATAGTAGTTAATAAAAAATGATATATTAAGATAATTATAAATAATTAAACGCAAATTATAAATCGTTTTACATGTTGGAAACAATCATAAAATTGATATCAGAGTAGAAAAATTTGCAACACGCGATTTCTGTCCCGTTGTAGCGGAGAACATAAATTTGTCGCAGTGCGCTACATTTTCCGGGCCAGTGCGGCAAAACACGTCCCTGAAAACTCGCAGCACGCGTTACGAGTAGTGCACTGACCGCAGGTAACTATTTCTATTTGCCGATCGGTTTTGCTTTCTCCGTTAAATAAAAAGAGAATACCATGCACATATAATGTATGTATATATTGTGCAATTAATTTAGTAAGATGCTTGTTCGATGGAAACATTATTTAAATAAAAATTACATATTTTGAAAGAAAAATATATATATATATATATAAATTGTAAGGATTAAAAAAAAAAATGACGAATCACTTATTTATATATTTACGGCATATAATGCAACAATATGATATAAATCATCATAGATTTATACATAATTGCAAAATCATTGTTTTTGAGTATTTCTTTTAAAAATATAAGACTATTGTTGCGATATACTGATAACATAATTCATAATTAAGAATCGGTTGAAATTTTTTATGTAGAAAATATATTATATGTAAATATATTCATATTTCGGTATGTAAAACGTTTTACGTAAAATGCAATTATATATTAATTTATAATAGATATGCATAATTTACTTTTGTTCCGAGTCATTTAATTGTAGAATGCATCTTGATAATTTTTGGTCAATCAAGAAAATTATCTCGTTTTTTCATTCATGGTTCGAAAATTTTTCGAGTGAGGAATGGATAATTTAATCATCGTGAGCGATGAAGTTCATTTTTTGCATAATTAGTTTGCAACACTGTGTATTTAAATATTCAGATATCTATTTTTAAATTATCATGGATTATCATCATTATTTTCTCGATAGAAGCTTTAATATTATCTACAATTTATTCAATTATTAATATTCATAGGAATTATCGAAAATACAATTTTTTAATTTCCATTTTTTTCATATTTTAGTCAAATTATTAAATTACGGACGAATTATGAAAATTCCCAAATTTTGTCAATAAAATAATTGTATGGAAACATATCTGGCCATTAAAACTAGTAATAAAACTACTGGTCCGTAATGTATTAAGACCATTATTAAAATGATAATATGAACATATATAATTATATTTTAATTAATTTTCCTAAATAATATTTATATATAATGTTATAAATATTAAATATTTTTAATATTTCAATCAATATCTTTAATTTAATTTAATTTATTATTTTTATAAGAAAAAAAATTAATAAATTGCTATCTACACATCATTTTCTTATATTTCATTCTAATCTCCTTATTTTTCTTACTCTCGTTCTATGGCTCTAAAGTGAGTCGAGTATATAATTCATAAAAATCTACATCTTTAAATCATCGTTAAATAATCCAATCGACTTGGATTTATTTAAGATTTAAAAATTTGTGTTCTTTATTTAATAATTCTCTTTCTATGCAATAATTATATTCCCTTCTTGTTACTATGCATATATATTTTTTCATGGATATATGTATTATCGAGTTATTGTAATAATTGTCGTTTAAAAAGTCAAGATAACTTATCATACGTATGTTTAGAATAACCAAGGTAGCCGGTGACTGTTTTGGTTCTCGCAAATGAGCCAGAGAACTATTATAATATTGATCGATACAATCGATATTTTAATGGAAATGTGCTATGATTAGCTATCCAAAGTTTGGTTTGGTGATCTATCAGTAATTTGAAGATTGATTCGTAATAAACATTTGGTATGTAAGTGTATGCGGAAAAAGAAAAATTCTAATCTGTATTAATTTTTCTTAGTTTTTAAAAATTAATTTAGTAATTTTAATGAATGAAAAAATTTTACGATAAATAACCTACATTATTTTGTACATATGGAAAAAGGAATTAAAATTTATTAGAATTAATGAAAAAATTAATTAATGTAAATTCTCAAAGATTAAGTATAAGGATAACTATAAGGAAACGAAATGTGATGGATGTTCATGTTATCAATTCCCATTATATTGTTAATTTTTTTTTATACAACTCATTTGTGTGTAAAGTAGAAGATACGGAAGATTTTATTTTTTTTATATACACAATGTGTTATATATCTTTATAAATATAGATTAGTATAATTTTTTTATGTTATACGAATACAATTTATTAAAATAATTTTAAGAAATTATATAACGATTTAAGTTTCTTAAAATAAAATATATCTTTTATATAAAAATCGCATATAAAAATTTGTCTTTCATATTTCCATCTTTCTTCTACTTTCTTCTATCATTTATGGAAAAAGAAAAATTAGAAGCTAATAACATGAACATCCAATGAGGGAAGATTCCGTTTTAATGCGCCATCGAATTAAATTCCCTCTTTGTGTAACGGCGATACGAGATAGGATTTTAGTAAAGTATTTTTTTTCGTTCAATAGAAACGAAGGGAAATATCACGATGGATAACAGAAGGATAGGTTGTAACGTTTTTATTAACTCACAAATAAAGTTAATCAAGCGGCGAGTGCTACGCAGCAATGGGCAATTATGCTATAATTGTTCGAGGTACAATGATATCTCCGTAAATTCCGTCGAACCCCGAAACGGTTATATACTTATACATGTATGTGCGCACACATATAAGTTGCGTTGCATTGCGCATGACCGCACGTGGATATCTATGTTATATTGTTTTCATAAATCTAGGTTGAGGTTAGCTAGGCTAAGGTTCCGTTTCTTCTTTTTTTTTTCTTTTTTTAAATATCAGGAAATTAAAACGCATTCCACGTACGATATATATATATATGTATATAGCGATAAATGTAGAAAACTTTTTGTTTTAATCTAGCATGAAAAATCA